AATTAATTTGGAGTTGGTAAAGAATATAAAAAAATGAAAGAGAATGTGAAATTGGTAGAAAAAAAATTGAAAAAAAAAGATTTAGGGTTAAAAAAATGAGGGGGCACCACTTAATTTTTACTGGGGGCATTGTTATAATTTAATTAAAACTATAAGTAATATTTCTTTTTTTAAAAATGTGAATGGGGGCATGTGCCCCCACTTAATATATATATATATATATTTGATCTGTAAATAATCATGAAAGGCTTGACTTTTAATACTCTCGGTAGATGGACACTTCATGGTTAATACATTACTACAACGAGTCGGACGATAGAGTTTAGTTATAATTAAAATAGATTTTAATTGCAGAGAATGCTGTAATTATACGGCTATCTGTCGGTTTGAATGTTATGTTTTCTGTACATACATATGTATGTATATATATGTGTGCGTGTCTGTTAGTTTCAATTATTTTATTCTATATATCTTGATTTATTCAATAAAAAAATATGATGTATATTATTCCATCATTTTTATCATATATTATAATAAAACATTTTGATTAAGTACTTCACTTTAAATTTTATATAATAACAAATTTTATATTATTGCTTAGATCTTACCTGAAATCCTGTTTTTACTAGGGGTGACCATTTCGGGTTTCAATTCAGGTTCGGTTTGGTTATATTCGGGTTTGGTTATTTCGGTTATAGAAAAACTATAACCATTTGGTTTTTACATAAATTCCGGTTCGGTTCGGTTCAATTATTTTTCAGTTCGGTTTGGTTCGGTTTCAGTAAAAAAACTCAATTTTTTCAAAGAAATCATCGGTTTTTTGGTTATTTTTTATCCGGTTCGGTTCGGTTTTGGTTTATTCGAGTTTAAGAAAATCATAACCGTTCGATTTTGATGCCGGATTCGGTTCGGGTACGATTATATCTTATTCGGTTCAGTTCGACTCTGTTATTCGGTTAATAACCGAAATGGCCACCCTAGTTTTTACAACCAAATCTCTCGTAATATCGTGCAGATTCACAATCATTTATCCGACAAGTATTACACAATATTTTTTTTTTTATCTCAAAATCTTTGGATTTTAGTTTACAAAATGCAAGAATGCATTTGCTGTCTTTTCTCTGACACCTCCTACCGCCTTATCTCTTGCTGTTTAATATAATTCGTTTTTATTTATGAATAAAACGAATTACCTGTTTTTTTTAACAAAAAAAGCACGGAGTAATGCCATGATTTATTTATTTAATCGGATTATACAATTTTTTTAATCTGAAAATTTATTGAATTTTAGAATCACATCTCTCATAAGATCGGAGAAATCTATAGAAAATAATGAATTTGAAAAATGTTGTAAGAAAAGAAATGCAATTGCCCTATAAACTCGTTTTCGCTACGACTCCGATGGGTTTCCTTGAATATCTCTTCCAAGTGGAGATTCGAATCTAGATTGAAAAAATTTGCTCTATCTCTTAATAGTTGAGTTATCCAATATTAAATCTGTTTATACAATGTATAAATATAACACGGAAAACATGGCATTATTCCGTGCCGTTCTTTTTTAAAAAAAAAACCGCATGATTTTGGGTTATATTTACGAGTTGCCACTACAAGAAAAACTGTAATTTGCGACACCTGTTGCGACCGAAATTTTAGTCGCAATAAAAACTACAAGAAAAACCGCATGATTTTTCGGTCGCAAATTACAGTTTTTCTTGTAGTGTGCATAAACAGGAAGAGTTCAACATACAAAATAATTCACCCTTACTTCAAGTTTATCTAAGAAAAAATAAATGATGTATCCATGCATGCATACATCATACATGAACATGAGTATATATATATATATGACCGACACTCTTAATGGATTTGTCTGTTAATAATCTAAACATGCCAATTGTTTTTTAAATCTATTCCATAGAAGCGTCTTTATCAACACAAACACAAACACAAATTGTCACGTCATTAAAAAAAAAAGGAATGATCGAAAAGGATCAAACGAAAAAAAAATCAGGAAATGTGCACAAACAATATCGACAAAATAGGTTCATATTATCTGCCATTTTTCCGTCATCTTTGTAAACATTAGATATCATCGTAGTCAAGAAGAGGAGTAACGTCAACCATAAAAAAAACCATCTTAAAAATGGATTTTTCATGTAAATATTGGATCTACTTTTGATTCGGATATCAAATAATTCTGAATATTCGCATATTTTCGTCTATCCATATTCAAAGAAACCTATAATGTTGTTTGTCGCGTGACTTAATTTGGTTGAATTATTGAATAATCAACGAAAAGAGGGTTACATGGAAAAGAACAAAACTTGACATGGGTTATCCATATATATTCTCAAACTTTTTCGATAAAATTTCATCAATAAAAATTATAATTTATATAATAAAAATATTAGTTTTAAAATGATTAATTATTTATTTTTATAATAAAAACTATATAATAAAATATTGTTTTAAATTCAGATTTATTTTATTCTTTTTATAATTATATATAATTTATTTTTAAAAAAAATAAGACTCCAAAATTTATAGGACCCTTCTACCACTTTATTCACTTGCTATAAAAACGGCCCTGCATGTACGTACAAAGACACAGGCATCGGTACTTTTTTGGGGGAAAATACTTTCATTTTGGAATCAAGACAAGTGCAAATTTTAAATTCACGAATAATAATAATAATGATAATAATGATAATAATAATAATAACAAAACAGAAAAAGACAAAAAAAACGCCAGATTTCAGTGCAAAAACACATTTTCTTACATGGAGGGGCCATCATTATTGATAAAAAAAGACATATTATCTTTACACAAATTATTACATTTTTCTTAATATAATTATAAGGTCGTCGAGCCTTCATTCGAGACCACAACAAAGAACGAAAAATACACTTCTGTGTCTCTCCCCTAATTCTTTACGAAATATGTGGAAAAATATGAATGGGTCTAGTATATATATATATAGTATCTTTCACACATATACATTATTAGTAATATCATATATTATTATTAATAATATATATATAGAGAGAGAAAAAAAAGCTGTTTATGGTCTCTCTACCTTTCTTTCTGTGACAATAAACGCACGTCGCTTTCAATGCAATCGAGTGCCCTTTTAAATGCAAAATAAATATATACATTATATACTGTATCATTTAAAAAAACACATGATTTTCAGTGCCACATCTTGAAACGGTGTTATATATGAGCATGCATGCATTCATGTCTTTTTGGTTCCTCTTTATGTGATCTCTTTTCCCATTTCTTTTCACATCGGCTTTCATACGCAAAATATATTTGTTATATATTTTGTTGATTACCTTCATCAAACACTCGGAGCGAAGGAGAGGCTCTCGAAGCCTCTAGGAGAGACAAAAGGTTTTAAAGACGGAAGGGCATTTTAGTCTTTGTACGGGTCGACTTTGTGAGACAGATTAGGGTTTCTTTTTCGGCAGATTGTGTTTTCGGTTTCTTTGACTTCTCTCTCTTTCGGTGGTGCGATTTTCATTCCTCCGTATATCGGGATCGGTTTTTCCCGTCGATCTCCGGCATTACTCTTTGTGTAACCCTAGCAAACGTTATTCTTCTCTCCAAGATGTAGATACCGAGTGTTAGAACTCGATACTGAACTTGTATTTCGTTGTGTCACTTTTCTTTCCCGTTCTTGAGAGATTCAGAGAGATCAGTGAGAGTTCGAAGGCCAATCCCTTATATATATATATACATTTCCCTAAAAACCTATAACTATATATATATATATAACCAGTACATATGCAGTTAATCTGACCTCCTATGTGTATATATATGCGTATACATCTAATCATGCATGTTATATTTAGCTCGATGACTATCGGTTTCAAATTCTTGTGAGATAATTTGCGGGTGCCTGTATTTGGCTTTATCTACGATGTGTATTGTGATAGAATCCATGAAGAAAATACACCATATATATATATATATATATATCGTTGTAAACAAATTATTTCACTTTTGTAAAAAAAACAAATTATTTCTCCAAGAAAACGTATTATATTGGGCCTTTCCAATTTCAATTTGATTACTGTTTTTTGAACAATCAATTTTAGGCAGAAATAGGACACAGTTATTAGGGTTTCTCGTTTCTCTTTATATATATATATATATATATATATGTATATGATTTTATATCTAATTTCAATTTATTTTGAATTAGAAATGTTTCATAAAGAAAAGGTTTCATCTAAAAATTATTTTTCTGATTTTAAATATTTTTATATCAGATTTGAATTTTAAACTTTTTAAAATTTGTTTAATTTGATTTTATAAATCATATTCAATCGATATTAATTTATACCAAATTCAACTTTGGTTTGGTTTGATCTTTTTATCCTGGACATTACAACTTATATTATATCATATAACAATATTGTAGAAGTTAACGTTATAGTAGACAATGACGAGAAACTCATGCCATATACCAACAATATAGAAAAAACATAAATTAATTTTGTTATATTTCTTCTTATCTTTTTTTTTTGGTACGTTGCCTAAAAATTGCAAAGACCGAAATAAAGACGGCAAGTTCTTTTCCGAGCTATTTTTCATGATTATCAATCAAACACTTTCTAGCCGAATCTCTCTCTCTCTCTCTCTCTCTCTATATATATATATATATAAAATAACTAAATGCTGTTTGGAATATTAATAATAATAATAATACGATTCCCATCAATCGAAATTGGACTCATCCCCAGCAAATATATCCCTTTGAAATATAAGATTCATATTTATTTTATCATATTATTCACTTGTACGGTTATCTATAAATATAATGATAATGTACCCATGTTGCAAAATTGATCCACATACGTTATGGATTTGTGGTTAAGTTGATTGACGAATGACAAATGTAAATTTCCACACGTTTAAAAGCTAAACCATCCGTTTCAAAATAATTGTTGTTTTAGATTATTTCACATTTTTTAAGAAATGATAGAAAAAGTCGCATATAACTTTATTTAATACCCTTATTTAACGATAGAAACAATGTTATTGAAATTTAATATGGATAAAATTGGAAATTATTGTAAAAAAATATCTTGAAAATGTGGAATGAAAATATGTTTTGAAACGGAACGAGTAATTATTATGTTGACTTCAAGTGCTTTGGAAAACTAATGCAATTTATGACAACATGCTATAAACATGTAAAGGCCCGTGCGTTAGACTATTTAGTTACGCAATCAATCAATATTTTGCTAACTTGTTTTCTTCTTCTCACATTTATTATTTATTCTATGCATATTTTTGTCTTAACCTACATATATCTTAACAAATCAATTGTTTTAATCATTGCAAATTTGGAAATAATTAACTGCATTCAACTAAAATAAAACTATGATTATGGAAGTTAATTAAACTCAATTATTTTAACTTTATTATTTTCATTTCTATATTTTGAAAATTCAAAATTTTTATTCGTATGTTGCTATTTCACCATCTCGTGTGTAATGCATATATATATATAGCAACACGACCTATATTATAATATTATAGCATTTTCTGTATCATTAAAAGAAAATGTGTAGCAGAACATAAATTTTAATACACATTTGAATTAACTTGATGCACAGTATATATATATACACACAACAACACATTCGGTCATATATTGAACTATTTCAATATAACTATTAGCCCAAAAAATATATAATAATCACTGAAATGAACATAACTAAGAGATGTTTGGAGCACAAAACTACCAAAAAAAAAAGGACATTTTTCCTTTTCTCTTGTTTTTCTTCGCAATTAACTTTCTCGTACACACAAAAGGATCAGATCACTCACATCCCGACACATAACTCACAACCACCGAAGTTTCATGCGCTGCCGCCGGCAGAAAAGACCGCATAGCCGTCGCCGGAAACTGCCTTTTACAGGACTGACAAGTGACGTGCGTGATCGCTGCGCTTATCTTCTTGGTGGCCTGTTCTTTCAGAAGCTTAGCCCTCTCGAGCTCAGCCTGCGCTTGCTGCCTTATCCTCTTTGCATTGGTGTATTCTATCTCCGCCATCTCTCGCTGCCGTTTCGCTTCTTGCCTCACTTCCTCCACGTACGTTTTCTCCTTCATCGCCATATTCACATCTTCTCCGGCCAGTTCCTTCGTTTGATCATAAACCATAGACGTAGAACACTTGCTTATGTTGCTGTTGTGAGGATGCGATAGTGGGGTTATGAAGAGATTCAAGTTGGTATCAAAGGGTTCTTCTTCGGGGGTTTTTCTATTAGGGTTTGGATTATCCGACATGAACGGTAAGAGCTGGAGTTCGAGGTGGTTGTTCTTGTTCATTGTGTTGTCTCGTGAACAGATGAAAATTGGCGGCAATACTGGTGTCGGAACAGTTTGTCCTCCGACCAACTGCGGTGGGACCCGCGCGACAGCATCGCTGGACGGCGTGCTTGCGATGGAGGTCGTTCTCGACGGACAGGCGGCAGGCGGCGGCGGCTGGTGGTGGGTGGCTCGCCTTACCTTGCAGCTGTCTTGGTGCTCAATAAAACTCTCCACCCTGTTGATCACAAAATATATTTACAAGTAAAGATAAGAAACCTCGGACTTTTTCTGTTGATAAAAGGGTATCCACTCCCTTGTAATATAGTCTCATCCTTAGGGATGGATTAGTTAATGTTTTGATGTAGGGTTAGGAAGAAACATGAGGACTGAGATATGATTAATTAATGTTAACTGTATCTTTGGAACTGATTTGATTAAAGGATTACTTTGGCATCAACACTATATATTATGACTATGCATGATTGTATGTCCATATGGTATATTATTAAATAGATAAGGTTCACTAAAAAGCCAAAACAAAATTTAACAATTTGGGCCGACATTATCGTTGGCGCAGCAACGCACACGGACAAAAACGACACTGTTTGAGTTTTTGGCCAAGGAATATGTGTAGTGTTTTCAATCTTTTTGTCATGTAACCAGACAAAGGGACAATGTCTTTTCTTAGAAAACAGCGATGCACAGTCCACGTGATGAACTTCTATTGAATATAAGCTTATATGCATATTATACATACATGCAAGTGTATATATATACACAATGATATCTACACACAGGAGATATACACGCAAAGGGTCATATCGAATAGTACCGAAGAAATTAAACCTGGGTTCTGGCTGCTGGATATTGATTAACAATAAATTTATCTTTGACCCACAGTTTGAAAGTGTTTTGTATCATTTAATTTCTTTCAAGAATCTGACCAGGCACAAAAATAGGGAAATCAAAATTTAAAAAAAAAATGTTAAAGAAATGAAAATTCCAAGCATTATTCAACGGGCGTCTGGGATGTCCATCGGACAGCCACAAACAAATGAGATTGTTTCTGTTTGTTTGAAACTCGATTTTGCCCAATTCAGCAAAGAAAAAATCTCTGTGTCTTTCATGAATCTTTTCGACAAAAATAAAGTCATTTCAACGGGGGAAAAACGAGGAAGAATAACCTGGAAAAGACGCGGCCACAGTCGCAGGAATGGCCTCGGGTGCCGCAAGTCTTGAGATGAGCCTTGTAATCGGATTGAACGGCGTAGCCTTTGGAGCATTTCTGGCAAACCCACTGCTTGTGCTCACTGTGTTTTCTCCTGAAGTGCTTCTTGATCCCGACGAGATCGCCGAGGGCGTGACGAGGGTCGTGGTGGAGACACGATGGCTCAGGACAGACATAAACCCTTTTCTTCACTTCTTGATCGTTGTTGTCTCTCTTGAGAAGCTTCCAGGGGACCTTGTGCCGTCTCCGGTGCATCTGAAGGTTCTGGTCTCTCTGAAAACCTTGGTTGCAGATCTCGCAGATGTACCTGTCTGATTCGAGAAGCGTTCTCGGCGACAGAGAAACCACTTCTGCCTCTGGATCTGGAAATTTTGGATGACGACCCGTTAAAGATGACAAAAAACCTATCAAAACTCGTGCTTTATCTTCACTAACAGGAAAGGAAAACACCAAGAAATGGGCACGTAAGGATTTGATAAAGTTAAGATTTTTAATTAAGGGTTTTGAGGGAAACCCATCAACGCCGAAGACCTAAAACGATGCGAGAGTTTTAGATGGTTACCTGGTGTACCAGCAGGTCTTCTTTTCCTCTTATGAGTGGCGACCCCATTGTCTGAGGAAGAAGGGAAAATATCAGAAGAGGAGGAAGAAGAATTTGGAACGACAAAACAACATGTGGAACTGCTTGGGATGCTGTTCTTGCTGGCTCCCAACATGGCTCCTGATCTCATCAATCGATCGGTTTCTTCCTTCTTTTGGCTTTGTGCTAGCTGTGTTTTGGGTTCTGGTGGTTGAAGTGATGACGCAACTAGTGGCAGGAGAGAGAGAGAGAGAGAGAGAGAGAGAGAGAGAGAGAGAGAGAGTATTTGTAGTGCGGGGTATAGTATTAGAGTATGAGCGGTTTCTAAATTCTTCTCTGTGTTGTTTTTTTTTTTGTTAAAAATGATTTTAGAATTTGGAAAAAAAACACACCCCCTTTTATGCCTGATGCGACACATAAAATATCATTATATATGCACCTCCAATTATCTTAAATTGCAATTACTGTAACTATGACTAAAAGTGTATAATTATAAGAATTAAAGGTATCCACTAATCCACTATACATGTAGCAGAAGGTTCGGAATTCATACTAACTATGAACGCTATACAATATATGAACGTTCAAAACCAATTCATTCTGTCGCTAATTTTTTACTAAGAAATGATCCCTCGCGGTGGGCGAAGAGAGAGAGAGAGAGAGAGAGAGAGAGAGAGAGAGAGAGAGAGAGAGAGGAAATTCCAATCAGGTTTGGAGAGGTTCTTGTTTGGAATAGTACTACTAGAAGAAGAGAAAATGGCGAGAGACAGAAGATGCCCTTTTAAACTTTCTGCGACAAGCTTTTTAAGCTTTTTTTTTCTAATGGTTCTAAAAAAATATGGTATAGATTAGGGGTAATGGCAAAAAAAATTCTGTAATTTTTCCATGTTAACCAAGAAACCTTGTACTTTTTTTTATTACCAATTAAACTTTGTACTTTATATGATTAATTCATAAAATCCCGTACTTTTTAAAAATTCACCGAAAATCTCCGCGAATGTCAACTCAAGCAAAAATGATTATGTGACAATGACATAGCATGAACACATCATCATAATTATGCCACATCATCATTTCAAACAAAATTTAAATTAAATTATTTATTTAAATTAATATATATACATACAAATCTCACATACATATATATATTAAAAATAAAATTATTTGTAATTAACAAAATATATATACACATAACTACAATATAAATGTATATTATAACTAATATATAATCAAAAATAATATATATATGTATATATATTAGTTATACATACAACATATACATATATTACTAATATACATATTAAAATAAAAGTAACTATTATTAACATATATATATATAATATCTATTAAAAATAATATGTATATGTATATATATTAGTTATACATGCAACATATATATATATACAACTAATATGCATATTAAAATAAAAATAATTACAACTAATATATATATATATACAATATATATTAAAAAATAATATGCATATATATATATATTATTTATAACATATATATTGTAGGTATGCATAAATTTTTTATTAGTTATAAGTAATTTTATATTTAATATATATATGTATGTATGTGTGAATTTGTATGTATATGTATTAATTTAATTTAAATTTTGTTTGAAATGATGATGTGGCATAATTATGATGATGTGTTTATGTCATGTCATTGTCACATCATCAGTTTTGTTTGAGTTGGCATTCGCAGGGGATTTTCGGTGAATTTTTAAAAAGTACGGGGTTTTATGGATTAATCACATCAAATATAGGGTTTAATTGTTAATAAAAAAAGTATAAAATTATTTCGTTGATCTGAAAAAAGTACAGTGTTTTTTTGGTGATTATCCCTATAGATTATAAGAGATTTTACATATGGCTCTCTTGTGGTTTTTCTTTTTTTTAAAAAAAAAATAGGTTGGTATCCCCATGAGCATGCAATGATTTTTTATGACATCTGCTTCAGTTTGGTATTTCGGGTCGAAATTTTAGCGGTTTGATTCGGAAACGGTTTATTCGATATTTTAAAATTTGTACCAAATTAGTACCGTATATTATTTGGTTCGGTTTCGATTTCGGTACGGTTCGATTTCTGTTTTTGTTAAAAAAAATTAGATTTTTTAAGAAAAATTATGTTTTTCGAGAATTTTATATAAAGTTTGGTTCAATTTCGAGAAATTCGTTTCTATAAAAATCACATCATTCAAAAATTTTGAATGGTATGGTTCAGAGAAAATACCGAATTTTCGGTTCGATACAGTTCGGTTGAACCAAACCGAAATATCCACCGTAGTAGGGAGAGAGGTATAATATATATATATATATATATATATATATATATATATATA